TATATATATAAAATAAATATTAGTATATATTAATATTAATAGTATCATATATTAATTTATTAGTATATATTATATATATTAGAGTAGTAGTATTATCAGTTTTATCTCAAGGTGCCAAAAAGAATAAGTGCGTTCCCGAGGTCTGAATAATGTTGATCATAATATGCGTGCGTAAAGGCCGGGCAATCGCGAGCGTTTGCGGGCGCCCGTGCCCATTTTCAGCGTTTTGCCGACCCCTGGTCCAACCCTGATTTCCTCTCGATACACAGAACTAGATTAAGTAATGAAATATGTATACTTCGTCGTCAGACAATAGCTCAATTATAGATTGCGAATTGTTGGCATGCGCTGTAAAAGATATTGTACTCGATGCGTGTAAATAATATCTATAAATTGTGTGCTGAATAAAATTTTATGAATATTACGTCTATGGTACATACTTCTTGCTAAAAAATGCAACTTTGCAACTTTGCGCGCTATCGCAAAAAACGTGTAAAGAATATGTACAAATATTTTAATAAAATCTGAATATAAAATTGAAGATTACGTTTTTGTTATTTCTCTCCTAAACTACAACGTTGCTTGCACCGCGTATTATGTTACACTATATCGTACATACAAATTATGCGGTTTCTAACTCAGTGACTCCGCATTTTTTAGAAAGAAAATACAAAACTGCACCTTACAATAAATCATACTCGTCTTGTTAGACACTACGTTCTACACATAATCTAAAATTGCAACTCTGCAACTTTTTATACTCGTTTCGCTTTGCACTGCATTCTCATTGTAAAATACAGACGTCAACGCATTGTGTGGTTTCTTAAAATATATTTGATTCTATCCATTATATATTATATAAAAAGTACATACCTTAGAGTCGCCATATTGTCGCATCGCCATACTGTCATCGGGGCCTGCCGCCATATTGTGTGATCCCGTCATCCCCCTGTGACGTCATTTCTCGCACCGCCATATTGCCGCGTAACGTCACCGGGGCTGCTGCCAACGTGACGTCATCCTGTGACGTCATTTCTCGCTCCATCATATTGCCGTGTGACGTCATATCCTATGACGTCATCCCCCTGTAACGTCATCCCTTTTCCTTCCTCTATGACGTCATCGGGGCACCCCCTCCCCCCGTGACGTTATCCCCTTCCCCTCATCTGTGACGTCATCCCCTCTCCTCTGTGACATTATTGTGACGTCATCTCACTCCCTCTTCTGTGACGTCATCGTGACGTCACTCCTTCTCTCTGTAACGTCATCCCCCGCGCCACCCTTCGGAACTCCTGAATTAGAACCGGCCTAGTATCACTACTTATGATACCTTAAGAAACAACTGCTTCCATACAATCACTTGATATACAGGATGTTCCACAACTCACGACCTTAAATTAAATGACATATTCTTGAGATCATTTTGAGACGAAACTTCTAATACCATATTGTTGAGGCTACAATAGTTTTTGAATTATAAGCGTTTAAAAGTGACCTATCTGGTCTGTTGTTTGCGCGCTTAGGTACGGCGCATCGTACATGACAGTGTTCTTGTTTCGATATACTTGTTATTTTGGTACTTCTGAAAATTTTCTCAAAAAATGTTTTTTATTAAATTATAGGTACATAACCATAATAGTAATACAGTGCATATGGAAATGTAAACAATTTCATCAAATTCTTGTAGAATTTGAATCACGTGTTTGACGAGCTGTCAAAGTTATAGTATGAAACTGGTGTATGCTGTATTGATTTTTTTGGTTGGTACTAAAGTTGCTGCAATCAATATTTTTCAATCCACTCAAGAAATTAATAACATTTTTACTTATTACATTTATTTAATTTTATACAATAGAAAATATATTTTTTTAATTAATAACACACAAGTCGTAAAAATAAATATTAAATCAAATAATAATAAATATGTACATATTTCAATTGCAAATAAAATAACAGTAGTCACTATTTTATAATAGAATAACATTAACAAAAGAACATTAACAACATTAAGTAATAACATTAACAAAATACTTATTACATTTTAATAATCGCGACGAATTGCGAGAAAAAATTGCAGAAGCAATAGGAACTATTACGGAAGAGATAATAGTAAATGCTGGTAATAATTTGCTTCGTAGAGCACGTTTATATTTAGAAGCGGGAGGAGGACATTTCGAACATTTATTATAATACAATAGTAAAAAGTAATAATTATTTTGTTAATGTTATTAATGTTATTCTATTATAAAAGAGTGGTTACAGTTTTTTTTATTTACAATTGAAATATGTACATATTTATTATTATTTGATTTAATATTTATTTTTAAAACTTGTTTGTTATTACTTGAAAAAATATATATATTTTCTACTGTATAAAATTAAATAAATGTAATAAGTAAAAATTGTTGTGATCGGGAAGATGAAGGACTTCGGTGAAGAATAAGATTCTTTTATAAAAGACTGGCGTAGTTTATTACTACCAAGTTTACAAATTACTGTACAATATCGCACGCTTATACAGACACTTAGCTGTTGCTTTACTGCGGTAAACTCTCCGGATGGACTCGGAGCCACACAGTATTCAACAGCGACTCACGATCTGTCTGTCGTTGCTCGCGATCGATCTTTTAAAGGGATCGATCGTGTCCACTCAGCAACTCAGCGACCTAATTGTTACTGCACGTATGCCGCTGACGTTGCGTGCTGCGTCTGCACTCTACTTAACTACTTTACTACGCTTAACAAGCAGATTTCATTTACGAGGAAATGCTGCTTGTTACCTTTTCAAAACAAATTCGGGTCGATTGAGCAATGACGCGTACCTCCCGCAATTGCTCAATGGCCCGTATGAAACTAAACTAAATTTCACAACAAAATGTTATTAATTTCTTGAGCATATTGAAAATCATTCTTGCAACAATTTTACCACAAACAAAAAAAATCAATACAGCGTATGCTAGCTTTGTACTATAACTTTGACAGCTCGACAAAAATGTTGTGATTAAGGTTCAGCAAAACTATACCTTTCTAAGTGTTTTTTATGTTTGCGTTGTAAGTATATAGGCAGGGGGGCTGCGCCCCCCGCACCCCCCCAAACACCTAACCTTAACTTAACCTAACCTAATCTTATATCACTACAATATCACTAATGTCATGATCCATAGTGCTTCATTTGTATAACATTATAGATGTGTCAATTTTATTTTGAGCGCATCTGGATCCTCATCGTTTAAAGTTGTATTCAGAGTAAGATCTCAGTCAAAAGTTTAAGAAACATAGCGTAAACCGTATCTATTTTACTATTTAGATAATAATTGTTTGCTGGAAAAGTATTATTTGTACTAAAATAAGTTACAAAAACTTTTTATTATACTTTTAATAACTACGGAAAAATTTTTACGTATATTTTGTGCCATTTTGATGTTCACTTTTGATAGTTTTGAGTAGGATTATACTCTACGTGCAACGTAAGAGAAATGAAAAACTGGAAATGTATTAATCATAAAAGGTTATTAAACCATAATACTTGATGTATAAAATTATAAATATAATTGTTTTATGTATATTAAATATATATTTTTATTAATTTTAGCAAAATATAAATCTATATTTTATGTGATATTCTCGAAATAATTATTTTTTCAAGTGGACTTTGTTTTTAAGATATTTATTAACAACTGCAAAAAGTTTCAAACTTATGGCATATCTACATCTACGGTTATTTTGTAATTTATTTCAGAATATCGTGAAATCCGTGAATAAGAACTCGTGTTAAATTAAAATCGTACTAACTTTTTAACAAGGCTCGCAAAAGAGCTGAAATTTTGCACAATTTCTTTTTTTAATATTATCAACTGACTGGCAAATTTCGAATAATCTGGCATACCTTTTATCTAACCCTGAATACAACCTTAAATCACGCACCAAAAACGCTTCGTTTTACATATTTTTTCAAGATAGCAAGTTAAATACGTCCAGACGCAGAGTTCAGCGTTCTAACATGAAAACGGTTAAAGTTACATAAACGAAAGTTATAAACAATTTAGTAGAAAATCTAATTTCTTACATTTTGTGTTTGAAAAGTATTTTTATAACGTAAATAATTTTAGAGATAATCGTGAAAAATGTTTTTTGTTGTATATTTTTGTAAAATAGCGGCTTGAATGTCGGTTTTACGTGAATAAAGGGTATAACCTTTTTTGTGCAAAATCTCATTTCTTACACTTTTTGTTTGAAAAGTTTTTTCATAACGTGAAAACTTTCAGAATTAATCCTAAAGAATAGTTTACATGTTTTTTCAAGATGGCGGCTTGAATATGTACGACCAACGAAAAATTTTTTTATATTTGTTTTTAGCAACTAAAAATACATAAAAATACCAAGGTACACAAAAATCGAAGAGGAGGGAGCTTTTTTATAAGTTTACCACTTTTCGTAGGAACTACTCGTATATGCACAGATTTTTCCGTACGACAAAATTTCAACCGGCTGAAATTTATCTTATGTTTAAGTTTATAGCTATTTCTACACTTACTGTACAATGTTTTTTTATTGCGATTTACGAAACAACTACCTTAAGATCTCTCCTTGATTTAGTTTAATATTAAAAAGAGTTCATTTAAAAAAAAAATAAAGTTAAAAAATCATTATTTTGACATCTTGATATTATAATTATTTAAAAACAATTAAAAGAGATATAATTAGTTGCAAATATAAAAAGATCATATTAACAAATTTCACAAATTAGAGAAATACATAAATCAAGGCAAAATATTTTGTATTTAAAATGTAGAACATTAAATGTTCTGAAATTTCCATTCTTCTCTCCCAAAAATTTCCCTTTTTTCTCATCTTTTATCTTTAATGTTTTCTGTATTTTCTTTCACATAAAAACTAAATTTATTATTTTTAAAACATTTTTATTATTTATTTATCTTGTTTAAGATGTTTCTTTTTCTCTAAAATTTGAATGGATCTTTTTCATTATTCTTTTTAAAATCAATGTTAATCTATTCTTTATCGTGATTATATTATAGTTAATTCCTAAGATCTTACATTATTTTTTTTTAAGACAATTTGTTTTCTGGCATGGCTAGACTCTAATCTTTTTAGAAGAGCATGTTATCAGCGCTATTGTAGTATCTATCTTTGTTTAATATACAATAAAAAGAGAATGTAATAACGCTAAATAGTGCTGACAGCATATCATTTAAACGCGCCTCTAGTATCTTTATTGCTTATGTAATGTTTTTATGTGCACGTTTTGTGTACTCCCAGTCCAAAATTTATAGTTGACGTTGCAACCGACGGTCTCGAAGGTCGCATCCGCCTGTCGTGAGGAGAATCCAGGCGTCAATGAGGATGTGCAGAGTAGGGATACCGTCTCAAGCGGCGATGTGAAGCGTTAAAAATAAGACCAAACACTTTTGCAGTGGTAAATCAGTAGATGGTTTTGTTTTTTGTTTTTGAGCGGACTGTATTTTGTGTGTTTAGTTTTAGTTAGGAATACAGATCCGGGGTGCATAATGCCCAAGGTTTAATCCAAACGTTATGTAATTTATTTTGTCTTCTTTTCTTTTGAGGGGACCCAAGTAGAAGAGGTCTACTCGCCAAACTGACACTTGTTAAAAGCACTTGTTTGCGAAGCAGTGTGTAATTATCGCTATGACTTTATGAGTAAGCTTGGTTTGGATTAATCGTTAATCTGGCTAAGTGTGAGCAATAATTGAGAAGTTAGGTACTAACTCGTAAAACCTAACTTGGTAATGGTTGGTATAACTGCGGTAACTGACTGTGTGTCTAGAAGAAAGTTCACCTGAAAAAGAGAAACAATAATTAGGATAAGTAAAGTTTTGTATGCTTACCTGTAGTTGTTGAAATTAGCTCCGTTTGTCCGAGTTAGTTGTTCTTCTCCTGGATAGTTGGGC